GTATCGGCAGATCACACTTTTCGACACCTCGGAAACAACGTAAGAAAAAGATCTACTCACTCAATTTTTCACAATTCTATTTTACAAATTTGAAGTCAAATAAATCGGAATTACTTGAAACATCAAATCGGATTTTCTGACGAAAAAAGATACAAAGTTTGGTTTTCAAGATTTCAAGTTTGGTTGTGGTATATTCTAAACAATTTCCAGAGAATGTAAAAATTAATAATTTAAGTGTATAAGGATGTGTTGTTTGAATGCTATATACAATGAGGTATTATAAAAACAATAAACCCAATTAGTTTGTCTATATTTTGTCAATACAATCAAACTGGAAGTTATATACACTTTCTATAGCAAACATTGTATAATCTCTAATCTAAGTCTTTTTTGGTCTTTCGACTTGTTGATTACGTTTCAAGTTTTCCATATTCTTTTTGGATTCGGGATTTTGTGTATAATTGTAAATAAAATACTATAGAGCTTGTAAAAAATTTTCAAATTTCTTCTTTGACCTGGTTTTTGAAAAGTTTCAAGTAACATTCGATGAATTAAAGTAAATTTAATAAAATGTAGGTTGCACAAAGGTTCAATTTGACTTTGAGCAAATATTAATTATGTTATAAAAATCAAACCAATTATATATCACAACAAATAACACATTTCAAACGAACAATTATCTGACTACGTTTAGTAAAACTGCCAGCTATTTCATCATTATAGAAATGTGCTTTTTTATGTCTTTCAAAAATTTGTTATCTAGACATTTTTACCCTATAGGCGGGGTAACTTGGAACGGCCAGGTGGCGAACAGGTTTAAAGTCTTAGTTTAATTTTAAACGTATTTCACAAAACAATTACATTTTTAACCAACGCTAAAAAATTACCAACGGAAGAAAATACTTTTATTATGGATTTTCGAAGATTATCGTTTATTTCCCGATAGCAAAGTCATGAGAATCAAGGTTATAGCTGGTTATACATCTTTTTCCCTCTACTTTCAAATGTTGTTGTTAAACAATGCTTAACTTTACTGGTTTTTGACACATGGTGGATCTTTTTAATCCCGGACTTTCATATATTACTATCTATTTTTTGATAAATTCTGGGAAATTATAACTGGGAAAATGTTATTCGACAAAATGTTCCTTCGATCGATACCAAATTTAGATTCTGAATTTAAATAACATAAATAAAAAATAATATAACCTAGAAAATGTTTTATTAATACCAATGAATATATAATTATACAAATGAGATGTTTCAGAGCACCGTGTTTGAGATTTCATATTAACATTTCAAAAAAGTTGGTATTTTGAGTTTATAGTAAGGCACGTTTATTAACGTTTTTGTATATAAATAAAACTACAAACAAAACTACTTACTACAATTTAATCATAATTAAATAATATTTACGTAAAACATCCTATTAAATGCAATTGAACATCATCTGTCAAAAACGTTTGACATTTGACGTATTAGCCACTGTCCATTGTTTTATTTAAGCTACGCTTCTACAAAAATTTCCAAATGAAAAATGTAAAAATTAAAAGAAGGTATTATAATATATATATATATGCGTGTTACATTGACACATCTGGGAATCGGACAATGATCAAGGTTTCCATTTAGATTTCCATTTCCAATGGCAAATAAAAATCGTTAGGCGATTCCGCCGAGATTAATTGCAGCTAATTCGATTTGCATCTTAATTGCTTAATGAGATGCGATTATGCAATTATCTACTACGATTCATATAAATGATACACCACTAGTTTGTTGTTATCTAATTATTATCTTAAATGAGAGGACTCAATCATTTGCATTTACTTGGAAATTCATATATATATATATATATATATATATATATATATTTGTGTAGGTGTCAATGCATGTGTGTGTGGTGATAATTTGTCCAAAATCCAGGTGCATTTTCGGCACACGCGACACATTTTTGAATAACAATAAAAATGTGCTACAACAAAAAAATTACACATATTCTATACATCCTCCTCATCATACATATATATGCGTATGTATGTTTTTCTATGTATATACATACGTATACATATTTTTATTTTCGGATGGGCGTGCTCATCGCCATAGGTACGCACACAGGACACGTTGTCCTTCTGTGACAAACAAAAAGGGTGCCCCCTTTCTAAAGAAATATTTCTATATATAATATAGTGCATAATAAAATAAAATTCCCTTTCATAATATATAATAATCGTCATTATTATTATTATTATTATCCTCTCGTTGCCGGATATGTCGGACGTAATTTGACACATTTTGCAATACGATATACGATATCCTTAGACGAAAATATGGAATTCAGTTGTCGATAGTAATGCGTACATACATACATTGTATTATTACACACATCACATATGCTCTTTATAAAAGTTTTTAATACTTCCGCTCTTACATATGTATACATACATACAAATGTTTTTTTACACAAGTATTGTTTCTGTCGCCGATGGTTAATCGGCTACTTCAATAAGTATACTACCCAATACCCATACTAGGGTTTATACAAAAACCGACATTTCAGAAAACCGGTTTTCGAATTTTAATTTTACTAAAAAACTGATTTTAGCCGCTTTTCGATTTTTATATAGAAAATAAATTTTTGCTCGAACTGAACTTATTTATTGTTCAATTTTATGGATAGTAAACAAAATTATTTTAATTTTAATTAGTAGAACTAAAAAAAAAATAGTTTATCTTGATCAAATAACTTTGAAAATAATTATTTGTTATTCATGCATTATTTTCACATATAAGAATGAAAATATTTTTGTGGAGTGAAAGGAAAGTTTTCGAGTAAATAAAAATATTACATTTTTAAATAAAAAACATTCATTAAAAAAATATTAGATACACGTTGATACATACTTGTTAATATCAATATTAGTTTCAAAAACAATTAAACTAAACTCGGGTATTGTATGTTCCAAGCAATTTTAATTAATTAATTTTAAACATTCTAATTGTTTTTTTTTGTTTAATAAAATATGATTTCAAAATACTGAGAGCATCTATCGAATTGCTACTTATACGTGTCCTTTTTACTTACAATATTTCCTGAAATAGAAAATACTCTCATACTTGCGACGAAATTATGCTTAATTGTTTTTAAAGTTTGATATAATAATTCTAAGTTATTTGTTCTTTTATTTGTGGCTTCTAGCGCTTAAAACTCTTTTTTAAGTTTGAGTAGAGGAAGTTATTTCTTCAAGAATAAGTCACGCTGATTTAAATTAATATATACACTGCTATAAAAATCTAAATATATACAAAGCCTTTCTGGGAACCATTGCAGACTTATAAGATATAAAATGCTATTGAACCGATATGATTTCAAGAATCAAAACGCTTTCATCTATCTTTTATATTTGGCTATATTTGTCATTTTCCATTTATACAGGAAAAACCGACTTTTTCACTAAAAAAACTGAGGCAAATTGCTGAAACTTCCCGTAACGAATTAAAATTATGAAAATCTGAATTATTTTCGATATTCAAACAATTTTTTACCCCAAAAAGCATTCATCTGCAACACAAGCAGAAAGTTTGTTGGGTCATTCATTTTTTTTTAAATTAATCAAAATTATCTTTTTATTTTATAAATTTATAAAAATCTTATCGAGGATTAAACCTAGGGGTGAATTTACGTGCTACAATCGAAAAGGAAAATCTCTTGCACTGAATTTTCTTTTATATATTCGTGTATTTAGTTAAGTAAATCAAGAAAGGCAGAAGCCCTTTGCTCTTAGAAGATGAAAAAATAAAGTCAGGAGAAAATAAAATAAAATGAGAACTAAAAACGAGAATGAGAATTGTGCGAGCGGCTGTCGTTTCAAATATTTTTGAAGTTAATTACTTCTGATGTTGGTCCGAGTGTCTGGCGCCAATAAAACCTTCTTTTCTTTCTTTAAAATACACACATGTATATACATATATACACATAGAGGTGTATCCTTAAAATTAGGCCGAGGTCTATATCGTGTGAAAATTATTACAAAGTATTAGACCAAAGAGTTGATTTAAAATTTGCCTAATAATAAATAGTATAACGAAATTTATTCAAATTTATTCACTACGTTTCAACACTAAATATGTGCCATCAATTAGAAATTCATACAAAGATTACGAAGGAGTATAAAATCATTATTGGTTTTCCTTTAATATATTTTATTAAAACTATCGATATTTCAATTTCTTAATTTTGCGTTAAACTGTTTAATTAAAATATTTAAAAAGAAGTTTGTTATTATTATCTACTGAACGATGGCACATATCTGATATATAAACGTACAGAATAAATATATCATTATTTATTAATTAATCAATTGAAGTTCTAGAGAAGAGTCTTATTGCAAGTCGAAACGTAATAACAGTTACATCTAAATAACTTAATTATTAATTTGGTGTATATAACATATATACATAAAAATAAATTTATATGTATATGTATATATACATATCGGAATGAATAATGAGTAACAGTATAATAATATTTTGCATTTAGTTTTGACGTTTTCGCAATTATTATCATTAAGTGTTATTATATGTCATAATTTAACAAAGAAATTACTTCTCGTACACATTCCTATACACGAACGACATCTACATCTGTATAAATAAATATTATATATATATATATATATATATATATATATATATATATATATTATTTGTGATGACTGTGCTTCAATTATGTGGGTAAAACTGCACAAAATTTAATTTGATAAAAACTTTAGCAAAGCAAGTAAAAAAACAGTATCAAT